GAGTGAGTGAGTGAATGAGAGAGTGAGTGAGTGAATGAGTCAGTGAGAGAGTGAGTGAATGACAGTGAGTGAATGAGTGAGTGAGAGAGAGAGTGAGTGAGAGAGTCCACATACTTCTTAATATCATTATATTGTCACATTTGCTGACCTTTTTATCTTAATCTCTTAGGCTTTACTAAACTTTGCTTGGAGGTTTCGCAGAATGTTGCTGCTTCAGCACATGAAAGTAGTTTCTGACGCTGTCAACATGGGAGTTATTTCTTTGGTGTATTTGGTGAAATGTGAATGTTTCTGTTCTTCCTAGTTCACGGTCCGAATGTCTAGTTTACAAGAAAGTTGGGGTGAGCCACACAGGCCATTGCCCTTAGGTGGCCTTTTAAACCCTGAATCTTAAAACAAACAAACAAACTAGGGCTTGAGGGTAACTTGATTCAAACAATGGCCCAGGTAAACTAGTGAAACCATTTATCTCCAGGCATTGTGCTCCTTGAAGAATTCAGTCTGTTTTGAGAAACACTCCAAAAACCAGAGTGGGAGCCATGTTTAGGGTTACTAATTTATTTTAAGAGTAAATCAAGATTACTATGAGTCCCTAATTCCCATGAGATGGAATTCAAACACACCCTCACCCTCTGACCTTTTTACTGATGCTGACACTAGCCATCCCTCGACGCACTCTGCTTCTCTGCTGGTTTCAGTAATTCATGGCAAAGGCCATACAGAACTCAAACAATACTCCTAATTGTGAGCAGCTTTGCGGAGCCCTGGTGCCTTAATGGTTACACGTTGGGCTGCAATCTGCATAGTCAGCAGTTCAAGATCAGCAGCAGCTCTGCAGCAGAAAGACAAGGCTTTCGCCTCTGGTAAACTGTTAAAGTCTTGGAAAGTCAGGGTGGGGTGGGGGTATCACTGAATCAACATTGACTGTCAAGAAAATAACGGTTTATAATTTAGGATCAGGATTTAGGCAATAGTTCTACATCCAGAATAGCGTCTGTGCCATCTGTGCTGGCAGGCTTCTCTGCCAGCCCTCAGCCCCTCTCTACTGTCCTGCCTAGATAAGTATTACAAAACAATAGCTCCACTGGCAAATATCCAGAAACGCTCTACACCACTGGCAAGCCACCTGCCCAAAGGTGCTCCGTTTTCTCACTGGGTGGGCAAATCCACTAGCTGTCTCAATCAGGGCTGGGAATCCTGTGCCTTCTCTTGCTAGTCTCTTGGTTCTTCTACCACCATTGCTGGGCATCTTGCAATCTCATGCCTTCTCTGAAGTTACAGTTCTCTGTGTCCCTGGGTCTCGGGGATTCTTAGCACAAGCCCTGCACCCAAAGGACATGCTCAACTCCTGGCTAGTCTTGATGTTAAGGAGATCCATTCTGTGTTTCTGTGACTGGCAGGATATTGAAGCTGACCACTTCATTAGGGTTCCACACACCCTATTTGCCTACTTCCCTGGCTGCGTGTGTCTTAACCATCTTGTTGGCAAAACCCCACCCCGTCTGAATTGAAGACCTTGGCATGAAGAGCCCTATTAAGTCACTCCCAAGATTATTGACACCATAACCTAACAGCATTAAGTGGTCATTTCTTCATTGATGTTAGAATTTAAGGTTTGGGCCAGTAGCTCTATGGTGTTAACCTTGTACAAACACATGGAAATTCTATATATTTTTAGTAAAAACCTCCCCTCAAAATGCTCCAAGGAGACCAGAGCTGCTCCGAGCGGCCTTGTCTTTTTTAGCACATTTTCTCCTCTTACTGTTCTTTAACAGTGTGAGCCTTGCTTTGAAAAGCTTAGTTGGCTGCTGGGAATACCTGTGCACTGATACCTGCCTGTTTCCCAGCTCAGCCCTTTGAACTTGGCAGTGACCCCTACATGTCAAGGCTTTGCTGCCCAAAAATGAAATGTTTTTCTAATGTGGCCAAAAGATGATACATATTGGCGCTGATGCCAGTTTACTTAGAAAATTTTGCCTTTAGTGAAGACAAATCATTTACCACTTCAATATTTTTTCCACGTCCAATTTAGTGTCACCAGTTAATTCAATCATGTTATGTAATAGCCACCAGAATCCAAATAAATACCCTGTACTTTCTTCACAGTCTCTGCTTTCCGCCTCCAGTTGGCCAGGATTCCTTAAGTTTAATAGCCCTTATGTCAGATACCAATTTGTAAAGTCCTCTTCAGACTTACGAAACACATGCAATGATACGAATGCAGGAAGATCGTGGCCCAGTGGGTGGAAAGTCTTGTGGATCCGGTGGTGGTAGAAGCATCTCAGAGATGGCATGGGTCTCCACTTGGGTCCTCCAGCTCTGAGGCTCTGACTCCATCAACCTGTCTCCATGCACCTTGTCACAATAATTTCTTGCAGGGTTTGAGCTTATGTCCTGCCTCCAGTGAGCTATTTATCTCCTTCATGCCTCCAAATGAGACAATCAAGCTGTGACCTGATTAACAGGCTAAACTCCACCCCTTCACTTTTAAGTCTCAAATTGACAACAGATTATTTAATTACCACACAGAGCCATGTTTAAACAAGTTTTCTTTGGAATAAACCCATGTCTACATAAGAACTGGAACCATAGTTGCAATACTTTTTGATTTATCATAACCAACATTATTTGCATGTGCCATTCAGTGACACTAATTACATAATATCAGGCAACCATCACTATCCACTGCCAAATATTCTATTAGTATAAACAGAAACAATACTTCCAAAACAATGATTCCTCCTGCACCTTCTTGCCGCTGGTCATTACCTTTGGTCCCTTTGGTCTCTGTGAAGTTCTCTCTTCTGGCTCTTCAAGTAAGAACCTACAATCTGTACTTTTGCAATTGATACACTTCACTGGGAATAATGATTTCATGATTCGCTAATGTTCTAGATGTATCTGGATTTCATTTCTCTTTGTGGTTAACTACTATTGTTTACTTTTAATGTCATTCTTTGGAGATATATATATATATCTTTTAGATCCTATATTTTTAAGCATTGACTTTGGCCAAATCAAATTGTGTGCAGAATCCAGAACACGACAAAATAAGCACAATCCTAAAGTACTTTGCAGTTTAGCAAAACAAACAAACACCCAAAGCCCAGGAACAAAATAAAGTAAGCGTTCTTGCTGTTTTTCAAATTAGAAATCACCCTGAGACCTGCCCATGATCATCTCTGGGCCGTGTTTTCCTTTTAGTCTTTGGCAGCTCTTCCTCATAAGCCCAGCTGCTATGTCACCTTTTTTCTGCCTGCTACCTTGCTTATTACAACTTTTACAATTAGAGGTATGCCTCTAAATAAACATACCATTAACATTTTTTAAAGCTTTTTATTATGAATTAGGTGAAAAACTACAGATCAGATCATTAGTTTTGCATTCAACAATTTATCAAACCTCATAATGGTTTGCATTCTATCACACTCTCTGTCCCCTGTATTTCCCTCTGGTTGGATAGTGTGGCAGTTACATAATCTGTCAACTTGAGTGAAGGGGTGGAGTCTAACCTGTCATTCAGGTCACAGCCTGATTGATCCCTCCTTGTGGGCGTGGCCTTGTGAGGATTCTGGGAACTCTTGTCTTCCTCCCTGGAGGTGGGACACACTCTGCTTCACCTTCCTGTGGACAAGGGAGATGGAGCCACACTGATGGCAGCCAGAACCCTGGGGATGTTTCCACCACTATTGGATCCAAAAGACTTTCCACCCGCTAGGCCATGAGCTTCCTGCATTCCAGTCATTGCATGGCTGTGTGAGTCTAAATAGGAGTTTATGGACTAGTATTGACATATGGGATAATATCAGACTTAGGGACTTGATCTGGACTGGGCTGGGGTTTTTTCTCAATATACAATTGCTCTTTAATATAAAACTCTCATACACATATGAGTGTCTATGAATTTGTTTCTCCAGACAACTTGGACTAACACAGATATTATCTATCCCTAGTACTGGTGGTGTAGTAGTTATGCGTTGGGTGGCTAACCACTAGGCCAGCAGTTCAAAACCACTAGCAGCTCTGCAGGCGAAAGACAAGTAATGAGTTACAGTCTCAGAAACTCAAGGGGACAGTTCTTCCCTGTCCTATATGATTGCTAGGAGTTAGCATCAACTAGGTGGCAATGAGAAATCACCCGTTTGAACACCCATCTATGCATTCTTCAATTGCGTATTATTAGTTCCTCTGGCCAATCAGTAGGAGCATTGCACTCAGCACCATACCATTGTGGTTCTTCTCCATCAGCTCATATTTTAATTTAAATATGGATTCTTCTCTTAACTGTTAATCCCGTGTTCCTACCTATTACATCACCAAGGCTCCTTTGCCTGTTCCCCTAGTGGTGGTTAAAATGCTGACTGCTAACAAAAAAGTTGGGAGTTTGAATCCATTAGCTAGTGAGAGCGAAGGATGTGCCAATCTAATTCCATAAAGATCACAGCCTTGGAAATCCTTTGGGCCAGCTATATTCTGCCTTATAGGACCCTTATGAATCAGAATCCACTCAACAGCATAGGCTTTGGGTTGGAGTTCTCATCTTCCAGCTCTATCCCTCCCATCAACTTTCTTCCCTCTTGACCAGTGCTTCTCAGCAAGGTTCTGACTGTGAGGGAAAACGTGTGTCAGTGAGCTTCTAGAAAGTTACTCAAATGCCAGACTCAGTCATCTAGTCAATTATTACTCCAAATATTATACTCCAATTATTACTGCTGATCTGTGGTTAGCAGTACAGCCATAGTGCATTCTTCCCCAAAGGGTTGGGGTCTAGAAAACCCTACGAAGCATTTCTACTCCTATCACTATGCAGCTATGAATGGAAACTGACTAGAAGACAGCAGGTTTGATTTCTATTGGATCTGTGAAGAATTTTTCCTCTTGCTCATGACTGAATAAACTGAGATTCAAAAAACAAACTCTAACAAGAGAAAAATAAACCCAGGGTACAGGCCTTTTGACTTCAAAACAACGTTTTCTATGTCCCAGCCCTGAGTGGACGCACTTTTGAGTCCTTTTGGATCTATAGTCTGTGAGGAGGTGAGATAAATTTTTTAGCCTCTGAGAGCCTGCCTGCTCATTGAGTTTTGTGGAGTCTGCAGTAATGTTAACACTTTGTGGGTCAGTTATAGATCGTGAGCTCCTGAAGTCTTCGAACAGCTCCTTTATAAAGGCGAAGGGTAACCCCTGCATTTCTAGGCAGAACCCTCCAAGTCTCAGGACTCCTGAAGTTGTCCTTGGGCTTCTAGCTGCAGCGTCTGGCTGCGGTCAGTACAACTGTGGAAACTACATTGCCCAGAAAGCTCTCTGCGAAGCGGCTGCGACGTTTACCCAATGAAAGCCCAGAAGAGAGGCACTTCCTCTCATACGCGCTACGTCAGGGCGGGATATCCGGCGTCTTCCCGGTCGCGGTCATTTTGGATGGTCTTCCGCTATGCCCACCGGTTACGGTATGAAGGATGCGGAGTGAGCAGGCGTGAGAGGCGTCGTCCTCACCGATAGCCAGAGACGTCGGAGAGGCCGGACTGCGACACTGCCCAGGTGGGCGCGCCAGGAGCGGGCTCGGGGCGGCTTTGCCCAGGTCCCCTCCCATCGCCCCCGCCTCTCCAGGCCCGGCGCTGCCCACAGGCCTCGATGGCGGCGGCCCAGCGGAAGGGCCTGCTTCAGGTAAATGCCACGGCCCTCAGGCCTTGCCCACGCTGACCCACCTCTGCGTCCCAAGGCCCCCAGTTCGGGGCCCGCTCACGCCACTGCCGCCCAGCCCCCCGGTTCCCTGCGCTGGGAGGCGCTGTCGGTGGGGTTCGCGTTCCGACTTGTATTCTGTCATGTGAGTGGGACCGTGTTACAGGCTGAGAGACCCGTGCTGCTAAATGCTTCAGGTGCGATTGGGCCTGGATATTTCCGGTAACCTGGCGACCCGACTTTTCAGGGACCAGAGAATGGAAGGAACAAGTATCGCTCCCAGGGTGCTGTGCACTAGGAGGGTTTTTCATAGGAATGGCATAATGGGCTGTGTTAGGCTTTCAAAGCTTCCCCGAAACTGCTCAGGGTAAGGGTGACTAAAAAGGTGATGATATCAGTGGGAAGGGCACAGAGATGCCTCAGCCCCTGGAGCTATGCCATGATCGCCTCTCTTTCATTACTTCCCAACTACCCCAGGTTCCCTTCCCAAGACTGGAAAAGAGTTTATGGACCCTAAATGGTGGGAGTCCCAGGACTTCATTGCACCTGACCCCACTTGTCACTGGTATAGTCTCTTAGGTTGTGGTGTCTTGGGGCTCTACATCAAGTGCTCTTCTAGTTTTGGGTTTGTGAATCTTGACCAGACCCTAAGCCTAGGATACTGTGTTAGTCTGGGTAGACTAAGGAAACAAATCCAGAGACACTCATGTATATAAGAGAGCGCTTATATCAAAGAGTAATTGCATTTTAAGAAAACATCCCAGTCCAGATCAAGTTCATACATCTAATACTAGCCCATATATCCAATACCAATGTATAAATTCCTCTTCAGACTCTTGAAACACGTGCAGTGACGCTGAATGCAGGAAGATTACAGGCTAGTGGGTGGAAAGTCTTGTGGATCCAGTGGCAGTGGAAGCATCTCAACGCTGGCACGGGTCTCCACGTGCCCCCTTCAGCTCCAGGGTTCTAGCATAGCTCCATCTGTCTCCTCCACAGGAATGTCTCACAGGGAATGTGTCAGTGTCCCGCCTCCAGCGAACTGTTTATCTCCTTCATGCCTCCAAATGCGGTCATCAAGCTGCAACCTGGTTGAGGGGCTAAACTCCAGCCCTTCACTTTTAAGCCTCAAATTGACACCAGATTATGTAACTACCACAGATACTAAGTTCATGCCACAGATCATAGAATGGTTTGTGTTAATGGACTTTTAAAAGTTCGTGTAAAATAGGGTTAAAAGATAATAGGACTTTGCCTCAAACTTTTTGAAGCCCTACCTCATATATTTGCAGCCAATGGGATGATGAGGGGAAGGTTATCCCAAGCTTAGGTAACCACATAGCAACTGTTTGGAAGTGTTTTAATTAGAGCCACAGGGTGTCAGTGGGGGTTGTGAAAAGCTAAGTGCTGTGTAAGGAAGTGAGACTCATGTAGGAAGCCCTGGAAACAAGTACAGTACTCGCAGGTCTCTTAGAAGTTAACTGCAGAAATCTGGGGGCCAGGTAGCAACCAGCTGCAGCTGTTGGAGAGGGCAAGCAGGCTGGGGTCTTGAGATTAGTGCACATTTAAGTCCACTCGGTCACTTCGGAACTATCTTAATGCATTGTCATCTACCGTATGTACTCGTGTATAAACTTGAGTTTTTCAGCACATTTTTTATGCCATTTTTGTGGTAAAATTAGGTGTCTTGGCTGATATTCAGGTCGGCTTATGATTGAGTATATATGGTAAATGTGGAGAACTGTTTATCTCAGGGAGTCCTGGGGAGCATGTCCAGGAGGGACAAGGAGTGAATGCAGTTGGTCATTGAGAGTTTGGGTTACAGAATACCAACAAGGCTTGTAGAGTAGAAAACCTTAAGAGGCGTAGAGAGGAGCCTGTAACTGTTAAGAAATAATGTGACAAGTTTCTATATTGGAAAGTGAGTGAAAAGGGCAACTAAGAGGAAATAAGGGATGCCAAGGCAACACATTATGTAGGCCATATATTGACCTTGGGACAGGAGATGAAGTTGAGCTGCATTGTTCAAGGAGAACCGGGCTCAGGAATAAAGGTTAAAGTGGCTTCTTGAGAAGTTGAACATCTATTCTGGAAGTGATGGAAGCAGTGGGAGTGTTGGAAGAGAGGAGGGAGGTGATCTGACCCACGTGTCATCAACTACTTGGCTGTGGCATGGAGACAGATTGAGGGTAGGAGTTTGGTAGAAAGACCAGAAAGTGGGCTGCTGTAGTAGTGGAAGCACAGGGGCTGCACCAGTGTGTGGCCATGCAGGTGGGAGAAAAGGTCGGTGTCTTAGTTATGCAGTCTCCTATATAACAGAAGTACCACAGGTGGATGGCCTTAACAGACAAAAGTGTATTCTCTCATTGTTTATGAGGCAAGAAGTCCAAATTCAAGGCACCAGCTGTAAGGAAGGCTTTCTTCCTCTGTTGGCCCTGAGGCAAAATGATCTCCTCTTATTATCTGTGGGTCCAGCATATCTTGAGACTCTCCAGGTCTCTTGGCATCAGTCTTCCCCTGGGTCTAGGAGGTTCTCAGTGCAAGGACTCGGTCCCAAAGTGACACTGTTCCCAACTGCTCTTCCTTCTTGGTGGGGGTGAGATTCTTTCTTTTTTTATCTATTGTAAGATAAAAAGATATTACTTAAGCAATGGTGGGACTTGAATAAGGGTATGACTTGAGTCTTGCCCTCTTCTAAGAATGTGACTCAAGATAAACTCCACCCTAATCTTGTTTTGCACATATATATTAAGAGATTAGATTTTAGAACACATGAAATGGAAGATAATAAAATCAGATTATGAAATGGAGGACAAAGATTTTCTGGTGTGGGGTAAGGAGGGAGAGGAGGCTGTGGGAGCACAGAATGGGAGAGTGAATGAGAAAAGGTGTGGTATGGATGGGAAGAAGGTTGTGAATTGATGGCCCAGGGCCCTGTGTTGGGGATCTAAGTGAGAGCAGTAAGCCCATAATTGGTAAAGTCTGAGAGGCTTGATCTGGGACATTGCAAGAAAATGTCCAGTGAGAGGTATGCCCACGGCCCTGGTGTCACTCCCAGAGCTGATCTGTCTTTCCCTCCTGACTCGCGGTGCTGTCAACTTAAAGCACTTAATGGGACTATGAGAAGAAATTGGGCATTCGCACCAAGGCCTGGTGTCTTCCAAGTAGATGTGACTTTGGAGGTGTTTGAGTAGAAGCTGAGTGTGTGGAGTGCTGCACTTGGGGTCCTGGGGACAGATGCTAATGGATGAACTGTTGATTGCCCCCTGATGGCAGGGTGCTGTGGCCTTTGAGGACGTGGCTGTGTTCTTCTCCCAGGAGGAGTGGGGGCTGCTTGATGAGGCTCAGAGGCTCCTGTTCTGCGATGTGATGCTGGAGAACTTTGCAATCATAGCTTCCCTTGGTAAGACCCTCACATCCGTCTAAGTGTACTGAGCCAGTCTCTGAGTATACATTTTTTCCCCAGTGACAGATCTATCCTATAGCTAGATGGTAGACTCTGCTACCTTCCCTGCGTTCATTGCATGTGCTGCGGATGCCAGGGTTGAGCTATATGCACTGCCTTGAGCAGAGTATTCAGTAAGTATCTTTATCACCTGTGCCCAAGGTGTGAAGGGAACGGTGTGGAAGTCAGGAATTTTTTAATTCACTTTTGTTAGGGTGACCTTGTCTGGATTCACAGCACCTCTTTGCCCAGGTTCTGCGCCTTAGTTAAACTAGCTGTTATTTTCTCATAATTTCCTCTGAGGGGAATTGTAGACACTGTCGTGGGTACTATTAGTCATAAAATCCCCCTGAAGGTTATTGACACAGAAATGAGTTAGAGACCCTGCCTCTTCTTCCCGTGCACCACCCAATTTCAGTGTTGTAATTTTCAGAGTACCAGTACTACAAAGCGTCCCGTTTCTTAAGGTCACCTCAGTTTTCATGGACTCAGTTTTTTGACTGTCATTCACTTATGATGTTGCTTCTTCTTCCCAGGAACGTCAATGTGCATTTCATCAGTGTTTCTGTGCTTTCCAGGTTCTTGGTATGGAGCAGAGGATGAGGCATCTTCTAAGCACAATGCTTCTATAGAGATACAGGGCAGGACTTCAAGGGCAGGTTTATCCACTCAGAATACTCACCCCTGGGAGATGGGCGTCCCATTCTTGAAAAACATCTTGTGCCTGACTGAGCAAGCAGCACACCTTGGGCGGAATCCATGTGTGAGATGCTTCTGGATGAATACGACCCTTCACGAGCACCAGAAACACCATAGTGGAGAAAAAGCCTTCAGAACAGACATAGATAGGACCTTGTTTATGAAGAACTGCACGTTCCGGGTGTCAGGGATGCCTTTCACCTGTGGGGAGGCTGGGAAGGACTTCTTAGCAACTTCAAGCCTACTGCTGCACCAGGCTTCTCCTAAGAATGAAAGGACACCCAGCAGCCTTGAAGATGGGGAGGCATTTGACAGTAGCAAAAGACTTTGTGAGCAGACTCAATGTGGGAAATCTTCCAATCACAAAGACACACTTCTTCACCATGAGAGTGTCTGCACTGGAGAGGGACTTTATAAAGATAGTGAATATGAGAAAGATTTAACCTGCGAGTTTCGACTTGTTCAGAGCCAGGGAAATTACACTGGAGAAAAGCCCTATGAATGTGGAGAATGTGGACGATCTTTTAAATACAAATGTTTACTCATTTACCACCAGAGAGTTCATACTGGAGAAAGGCCTTATAAGTGTGAGGAATGTGGGAAATCATTTAGAGATTCCTCAACCCTAATTCAACACCAGAAAATTCATACTGGAGAAAGGCCGTATGAGTGCAGCGAATGTGGGAAGTGCTTTAACCGCAGATCTGATCTTAACAAGCACCAGAGAAGTCATACTGGAGAAAGGCCTTTTGAGTGTAGTGAATGTGGGAAATTATTTGGCCGTCACTCCCTCCTTTATAAGCATAAGACAGTTCACTCTACAGCTACACCATACGAGTGCAGCAAATGCGGAAAATTCTTCAGTTATTGCTCCTACTTGAAGAGTCACAGGAGGATTCATGCGGGAACAGAGCTTTATGAGTGCTGTGAATGTGGAAAATCCTTTAATCGAGGGTCCAGCCTCATTCAACATCAGAGAATCCACTTTAGATCTATGGCATATGAGTGTGACGAGTGTGGGAAATCTTTTAACCGCAAATCTTTGCTCACTTACCACCAAAGAGTGCATACTGGAGAAAGGCCTTATCAGTGTGTAGAATGTGAGAAAACATTTCGCCAACGCCCAGCCTTCATTCGACATTGGAAAATCCACACTGGTGAAAAGCCTTACGAGTGCATCAAGTGTGGGAAATTGTTTAGTCGTAGTTCCCACCTTAATAAACACAAGAAAATTCACTCTGGAGAAAAGCCTTTGAGGGTAGCAAATGTGGAGACCTCTTTTTCTATAAACATGGCCACATTTAATACTGGAGTTCACATAGAAACAAAGCCTTATGAAAGTGGAGGATGGAAAATCCTTTAGGTAAAGATGCAACCTTATTCAGTACTGGGAAATTATCCACATAGGACTGATCCATGTGACAAATGTTGGAAATTCTGTAGCTTTGTTCAAAATGTTCCATAACGGTTGTTGCACACATCGTTCTTCTGGTCTCATCGCCCCAAATGCAGTTGTTCATGGAGACCATTTGCCCCTAAAGGAATGGTGTGGGCGTGACATCTGACCCCCTGCACTACCCAAGGGGAAAGGAGAATCCAGCGTCAGATCTGCTCGATGATCCCTATGGGACAAAAGTCAGAAATGCCTCCACCTTCCGACCTTACAGTCATCTTTACCCTTTTCTAACACCCAACTGCCACTCCTCTACTGGGTTCAATAATTCATTGCGGTTGCCACACAGAACGCAAACAATTATTTCTTTAAAAATGTTAAATATACAGTTCTTTTGTCCACGTGTTTCATCGCTGCCATCTAGGCAGGCACATCTCTGGTTCTCAGCTTCTCAGCCATGTGGTTATTTGACCTCTGCCCTTCTTGGGCAAGTGTTACAAAGCTCTGTTAGAGCTGATAAATTCCCCAGATAGCACCCCACTCTTAGCCTCCTGCCTAAAGGCACTCAGCCTTACTCATTCTAGGGGCTGGGAAGCCCTCCACTTTGTGTCATGGTCTTGACACTGTTCCACTCCCACCTTTCAACACAAGAATCTTGGACAATCTGCACTCCTGGCTCTTCTTAATGGCCTTAGGACTCTGTGTTTCTGCTGCTGAAATGGCATATTTTATACCCAGTGGAACAGCAAAACTGACCAGTCCTCTCTATTAGTTTCACATCCACTGTTTGTATGGTTCCACCTAATTGGTTTGTGAGCGTTACAAAGACTGACTAGAAGAACCGTGCAAAGTCAATTTCGCTTCACTAAAACACATTTCATTTCTTCCTATCCTTGACTCTACTAACTCTTGTTCTAAGAAAGCAGACCAGTTATGCCTCAGATGACTGCTTACATGTTTTAAGGTTCTGGCCACTGTGCAATAAAGTAGGTAGTAAAACAAGCACTGAGCACATTATTTAAGCTAGTTAACTGGGGCGTAATGAAACCATTACTCTGTCTACAAAGCTTGGAACTAAATCTCTCGAGATGGGTGCCTTGGAAGAGCGTAAGCAAAACATTACTGCCACTAGGGTTCCAGTTCCTACATGCACACGTTTATTCTAAACAGAATGTGCTTAGTTTAGATATGTCAGTGAATGGCTGCAGACAAGTTCTGTCAGTAATACTTAGTCTCATTTTGGTGCCTTCAAAAACAATTTTGTGCCATAGATAAAAATGACTGCGATTAGGGCTAATAATGATTTAACAACTCAAGTGGACAACTTCCCAAATCATTGAAACTTTACAGGTTTATATACGTGTTGTCCATGTAAAAAAGAAAAACGATATTTAGATGGGTCAAGCATTTTCGGAAACCCTGGAAGACGAGCAAAAGAAGAAAAGCCATCAACCTTGACAAATGAAATTGGCTGAAGTCCAGAAACTGGTGGAAGACTAATTGCCACGGGCTCATTTGACCTTTTCAGTTTGTATGTGGCTCTCAGTGTTAGAAAGATGGGTGCCTAAGTGTTAGATGAAGATCAGCTAGCTTTACCAATAAAATTCAGATAGTAGCAAGGCCCAGTCAAAACAACAGTTTCTGAGAGGAGAGAGCTCACAGTGTCACTGAAGGGAATCTGATAGATCTTCTTGAAGGACAGGCGATCATCACAAAGGCTGCTTATGAAGAAATTTAACAAAATTAAAAATTACATTGGGGAGAAAAAGGCTAGGAAAGTTACGTTGAGGAATTTTCTTCCATTGTGACTGTTCACCTTCATTCTCCAAGGACAATCCTATGAGAATGTTACTGCCAAAACCTACCCCATTTACCTAAAACCCTTTTTCTTACCTCTTCAGATTTCTTGTTGCTCCCCAAACTCAGTATTTAATGTAATGCAATTTGAGCCCCTTGAGGGATGCCTTCCGTGCTGTTGAAATGATATAAATCAAAGGGCACAGAATTCCTTGGGGAAAGTTACAGCAATGGAAACACTACCTTCAGAAGCATACAGACTTAGATGGAGGATATACTATGAAACAATAACTTCACATTTTTATATTTTTATGCTAAATGTTTTTATGATTTTATAGCAGTTTTTTAATTTACCTTCATTACAGAGCTGCCTCTCCCCTTTTTACAAATGTATCGACCAAAAAGCTTTTGCCAATGCAACTTTTCACAGGTATACAACTTATTGGCAATAAGTACAACAATCAACTCTGTAAGCCCACATGTAATGTGAATTTTCCACTACTGTAACCGGACACTTAAATATTTCATAAAGCAATAAATTTCCCTTCACCTCTAGTAACTACTAATATATTTTGTTCATCATATATTGGCCTTTTCTTTTTGTATAAATGAAGTCATAACACTTTGTGACTGACTGATTTTACTCATTAAACTGTTCAGCTTCCTTATTCACTGTAGCATGTATCAAGATTTCATTCTGTGGACTAGAATTTACTGTGTTCATGCATCACATTTTGTTTCTCCATTCATTCATTGATAGACATTTAGATTGTTGCCAATCTAAATTTAGATGTATTCGTTTGGTTATTGTCAATAGTGCTGCATTGAGCATCGATTAGCAAGCATCAATTTTGAGTCTGCTTCCAAGTCCTTTGGGTATATATTTGGGAGTAGAATTGTGGGGTCATATGGTAGTTCTAAAAGGAGCCCCTGGTGGCTTAGTGAGCTACCCATTGAGCTGCTAACCACAAGGTTAGTAGTTCCAGCCCACCAGCCACTCCCCATGTGAAGATGGAAAGTGTCAGAAACCCAAAGAGGCAGTTCCATTTTGCCCGGGGTAGGCAGTGTGTTGTGTGGTAGGTCCATCTCATCTTTTGAGGAACTGCCATAATGTATTCCACAGCAGCTGTCCCCTTCTCATTCCTACCACCAAACTTCGTTATTGCCTTGAGATCATCTTTAAACCTTGAACCAAAAATAGCCCCTTAAGTCTTTAAACCAAAAAATAGTTTAGCTTATGTAAATAAAGTTCCCCTTGAGCTGTATATTCTTTTAAGAACTGTGTGGAGTCAAATTGACCACAGCAGTTTGTACTGTTAGAAACCTTAGGAGGCAATGAGTTTTGTTCACGGAGAAGGAATAACTCCGAACATGGGGATGAGAATAGTTGACAAATGAATCTGATTAATGTCATAGAAATAGTGGTGTGTGTTTTGCTGTGTATTTTCTCAATAACAAAATGCATTTTAAAAAATCTAAACCTATAAATTTGTGTTCATTTACCAGTAGAGTTCGCATTGCTAAAGGTCTTCGGTATCTGCAGGGACTGTAGAGTACAATGACAATGAGTCTGTGAAAGTATCTACCAAACCAAATTAAGCTGCTAAGCTTCTTACAGTCACACATACACAGAAGAGACTGTCTCCATGGGTTGCTTTGCACTTTCTGATTTGCTCAGAACACTTGTCAAAATTTTCTGACTTTCAGTTTCTGTATTAAACATTTTCCACCTATCAGATCATTGTGTATTTCACTTACGACCCCATGGTACTCAGAAAGGCAGACCTCTGTACCTACCAAATTGCTGGAGAATGTGACTCAGTTTTCACCCAGGAGATCCTTTTTAAGTTGTAATGTTTTTCCAAAAAGGAAACTACTCTTGGATACTTTCAGTCTCATGTGATGCTTGAAATGCATCCAGCTTCTCAATGGCCCACCTTAGAACAACTCTGATTGTGTGCAATGATAAAAGTTCATTTGAACCCTAGTGGTGTAGTGGTTACTCTGCTTGAGTAACTGTGAGATCAGGAGTTCAAAACCACCAGCTCTGCAGGAGAAAGAAGGCTCTCTACTCCTGTAAAGGGCTACAGTCTTGGGAACCCCCAGGGGTAGGTCTACCCTGTCCTATAAGGTCACTGTGAGTCGGAATCAACTGGATGGCAGCGACGTTGATTGGTTGGTTTAATCTTGAAGCTTGCCATCTTTATTCTGGGGTATTTTAGACCAGGGTTAGTTTCTATCTGAATAACGGGTTCTGGTGAAATGAGTTCCTGTATGTGATCTTTTGGTTCTTTGAAAAAACTTGATATGCTTTCCCCTTTAACCCCTAAATAATTTTTACCTGTCATAACTTTTCAATTTAGGACCTTTTGCTTTGCTTCTCAAGAGGGTGGTTACTTTTGTCCAAGGAAGAAGCCAGGAAAATGTTATTTTTGTTCAAGACTTAAATAGATGGAAATCTCATGGGCTTCTGACTTTCCCAAAGTGATTGGCCGAGGAACAATCTTGCAGGGGATTGGACAGGTTACTAGTCAAACAATGAAAATCCACGCATTGGTATTGAGTGCCTTGTGAGGGTTCAGTTTGGGTTCCTGCTGAGAGGGTCTTGCCTTGAAGTTAACAAGGTCTTTGCTTACATAATCAGCCTCCTCCACTGTGGATTTTAGAGGCGAGGAAGGAACCTTAGGGCCACTAAGAACTTGGAGAAGACCAGGTTGGAATCTGAGGTGGAATTAGACGAATACTGGCCCCGGGATGAATCACTGAAGAGTCAGAGCCCCCAAAGAACCTGGGTTCAGGGTGCAGTGGGTGAGAGACTTGGAAGTGACCCCCACAGCAGGGCTGGTGCTGAAGAGAGACAGCTTTTGTAAGGAAAACAGCTAAGGGACCTAAGTAAACTGCCACATTGGCTCTGCATAGGGCCAGTTAGCATTGACGAGGCTGAAAGTTGGGAGGCCTGATGTTGGATAGGCTTGACACAAAGAGGCCTGCCTAATGGCCGGAACGCTTGAAGGCAAAAATGGGGCCTGCAGCGCTAAGGGCTCTGCTTGCATGGCTGAGGGGTCTGCTAGCAAAGCAGACGGGCCTCCTAGTAGGGCAGAGAGCTCTCTCGATTGGAGGCTGTCCAGCACTGATGAGGCATGGTCTCCACCTCCCGGGAGCCTTCCAAACTTCCACTATATGCTCTCTGAGCCTGAGCTCAAGTTCCTGTACCTTCAAGGTGTTCTCGATCCTGAGTTGTAGTTTGCTATGTTCTCAATAAACCACATAACTGAGTATGCCCTGTCAACTATGTGACCACCGAGATGAATTTATCAGAGCAGAGTGCTGCGGGATCCGAAATGTTGACTAAGAGAGCTGTGTATCTGCTCTGCACCTCATGGGAACCAGATTTGTACTGGTCCTGACTCATCCCTCGGTAATTGAAACAATTCCTTACAGAGGAACACAAAGGATGACCTCTCCAGGGAAGATGTCAAATTTTGGAGATGGCAATTTTATGGCAGAAAAGAGCTCTCCAGTTTGGGTCTAAACTAGAAGTTTCCTGAGGAAAGAATACAGGCATTTGTAATCCTAATTGTAGCCTGGTTGGGAGGACAGTGTGTGTGTATACTCGGCTCACCCTGAAGAGAGCATTGTTAGGTACGGTCGAGTGGGTCCTGTACCTGGTGACCCTACATACGCCAGAAAGGAAGCCCGGCCTGCGCCCTCCTCACAATTGTGCTTGATCACATTGACAGCCATGTGTCAACCATCTCCCTGAACTTCTTCCTCTTTGCCAACTCTCCACGAATCATGGGGCCTTTTACCAGGAACTAGTCTCTCCTAATAACGTGTCCAAAGTCTCTCCATCCTTGATTTTAAGGAGAATTCTGGCTGTACTTCCTCCATGACAGATTTGTTTGTTCTTGTGGCAGTCCGTGGTACTTTTGATATTCTTCGAAAATGCCATAATTCAAATGTGTCGATTCCTCTGCAGTCTTTCCTATTCACGGCCCAGCTTTCACTTGCACAGGAGTTGATTTGGAAATATGGCTCGGATCAAATATACCTTAGTCCTCAAAATGACATCTTCGTCTTTAAATAGGTCTTGTGTGGCAAATTTCCCCAAAGCAATGCGATTGGATTTCTTGAGAGATGCTTCCGTGGACATTGATATTGGGTTCAAGTAAATTGGAACTCTAGACAATTTCAATATTTTCTTC